CCACTGAGCCATCTCTCCAGCCCCAACAATTAAGTTTGAATCTGAGTAGAAATTTTCCAGTGGAAAAAAGGTCAAGGAAGAAGGATAGCCTAAAGTGGGAAGAGCAAAACAGGATTACCAAAGAGATTCTTTTGTTGTTTGTTGTTTGTTTTTCATCTATAGCATAGTTGTATAATTCAGGTACAAATAAAAGCATAAAGAATATCTTTTAAAAAGCTGGCCAAGAAGTATGATGCCTTTCTGGTCTGGGAGTCTCTGATCAAGCAGATCCCAGGAATCCTGGGTTCTGGCCTCAATAAAGTTGGCAGGTTCCCTTCCCTGCTGACCCACAATGAAAACATGGTGGCCAAAGTTGATGAAGTGAAGTCCGTGATCAAGTTACAGATGAAGAAGTGCTTGTGTCTGGCTGTGGCTCTTGGTTATGTGAAGATGACAGATGACAAGCTTGTGTACAATATCCATCTGGTTGTCAACTTCCTGGTGTCGCTGCTCAAGAAGAATTGGCAGAACATCTGGGCCTTATATATCAAGAGCACCATGGGCAAGCCCCAGCACATTGGGGCGCATCCAAATAAATGTCAATGCCACTAAAACAAAACAAAAAAACCATGAGCAAATGAACATGAGTATGTTCAAATAAAACTTTATTTACTGAAGAAAAGAAATAATTACAGATACATTCAACCACTGATCTATGATGACAAACTTGTCAAAGCACATGCTGGCAGAAAGACAACTTCTTCACCAAGTTGTGCTGACAGAGCCAGCTGCCCACATGCAGAAGGCTGAGGCTAGAGGCACATATCTCACAATTATCTCACTATGGACCAAACAAAAATCAAAATACATCAAAGATCTATATTTCAAAACAGAAACACTTTATTCTGCTAGAAGGTAATGTAGATATGACCTTTGAAGTTATAGATGTGAACAAAACTCTACTACACAAAAGATAACATTAAAAAAATCATCAAATGGGACTATATAAGATTAAAAAGCTTTTGCACAGCAAAAGAAAAAATTAATGAATTAGAAGACAATTTTTTTTTTTTCCGCAAACCAGGGATTCAGCTCAAGCCGTTGTACTTGCCAGGGAAGCACTTATTCCACTGAGCCATCTCCCCAGCCCCAAAGACAAACTACTGAAAGGAAAAATTTTTCTACCAAGTCCACCTCTGAGGAAAGCCTAATTTGTGAGATACTGAAAACTCAAAATATTAGACAACCTTCAAATAAGAGAATCAATGAAAAATAGGTAACTGAAATAACATATCTCAGAGGAAAAATGGAAACTAACAGCTAAGTCAATACATTTTTGACATCACTGGCCACTAGTAAGATGCAAATGAAAACAATACTTAAATTTCAGTTTTTTCCAGAAAGAATGGCAATCATCAATAAATCAAATAAAAGGGCTTGGGAGATGGCTCAGTGGAATTAGCACTGGTTCATCCCCTGGTTCTGCAAAAAAGAAAAAAAAAAGAAATAAGAAAAAGAAAGAAAGAAAAAAAAAGAATCAAATAATGATTGTCAGGCTATGGTAGTGCATACCTGTAATGCCATCACTCATGAGGCTGAGGCAAGAGGAACTCTGTATTCTGAAGATCATCTTTGGCTAAAAAAAATGAGTTCAAAGTCAGCCTACACTACACAGTGAAATTCTGTATCAAAAAGACGAAAGAAAGAAAGAAGAAAGAAAGAAAGAAAGAAAGAAAGAAAGAAAGAAAGAAAGAAGAAAGAAAGAAAGATGGAAGGATAGTTTTCAAGGAAATGGTTAAAAATGAAATCCTCTACATATTTGGTGAAAATGTGAGCTACTACAGCTACAGTGGAAATCAATACAGAGATTCTTTAAAAAAACACAAAACTAGAAATTCCACATAGGACAGGCACTTTTCCTGTAAGTATTCTCCTAAGACTTAAAGGCAGCATATTATAGGAATATATACATTCCAGTATTTACAGAAGGATAATTTTACCAGTTTAATTTTGAAACCAGCTTTTATGTCATCAGCATCTGAACAGATGAAAAGAAATTTTGCACTTACTCACAATGAACAGCACTCTGCCATAAAGAGGACCGCGGTGAAATCACTTGTGGGTTAGCAAAATGGACACACCTTGACAAAACTGACAATTGATACATCTGACCTAAAAGTTTGAACACTGTGTTTTTTTTTCTTATAGTACAAAACTAAAAGGCATCAGGAAAAAAGAAAATATGGAACTAAAGTAGAAGACAGAAATGATTTTTGGGGGCCAGGGAGATGGCTCAGTGGAATAAGCACTTCCCTGGCAAACACAAGGGCCTGAGTTCAATCCCTGGTTCTGAAAAAAAAAAAACAAAAACAAAAAAAAATTATTTTTGTAATCAATGGAGTACTGTTTGGCCACAAAGATGGAAAGTTCGGTTGATTATAGAAAAATAGCAGCGCCTGCTTCCTTTCACATGGAAGCTTAAATATTGCATCACTTCTGTTAGATCAGAACCCTGAGGCATAAGTAAATTAAAGACAGTAATAAAGATAGTAAGAAACAGGGATATGAAACTTGTAAGTACCAGCTACCCACAGTGAACACAGTAATTACGTATTACAAACATGTATCAATACAAAAGTTAAAAAATAAATCATTTTGCAAAGGCAGCAGACTTCTTAACTGAAAGGCCCGGGGTATTCCCATCACTTTTTGTAACACTGCGTAATGATGGCTAGAACATTTTAGGGTTCTAACTTTACTTCAGAGAATGTGTGCAGGTCCACACATATGCAATGCCTTATAGAATGCGGCAGAATAGGAAGTCGGTTTGGATTGATTGCATGTGACATACTGTGCTAAATATGAACTATCAAAAAAATGATGTTTTTAAAACAATTTTTGTAATATGACAATGAATTTGTACAATTCATTGCCTCTGTATACATAAAATATAGACATTAAAACTGCAATTAGCCAGCCTTGAATTTCAGTGTTAGTCTGTACTCCTCCAGAAGACTGTATTTGATTTGTTATTGTGACCTCTGCAGCACAAAACAGCAGGTGACAGTCCCTAGTATTACAGCAAAGTGATATAAATTGAAAGGCAGCTGAAACACTGCAGAATTTTCTAACATTCTAATGGTAGACTTTGAGCTCATACCTTCCTTAAAGCAGACATGCTAAATGTTCAGATACCTTAGGAATTTAGGGATACATATTTTTTAAAAAATTTCTTTAAATTAACTAATGGTGTGATCATGAAAGCAGCTGTATTTCGAGGCAATTCAAGGTACTGGCTTTTCTTTTGTGTCATATAGAACTTTCACTTGAAACTGGCCACTGCAATTGTGCCTTCAACAAGACAATTGAAAACATATTCAGTCTTTGTGATCACTGGATTCTTTGGTTCAAATGCAGAAACGTGTTTCAGGAAGGATTTTTTCAAAGCCGAAAAAAAACCTGATTTCAGAAATTATTACAGGAAGTATGGTGTGATTTCACAGAGAAAATTGTATTTTAATATGAAATATAAATTTTCTGATGCTTCCTTCTAGAAATTACTTCAATTCTCATTTGGAGTTAATCTAATTGGCTTGCTCTAATTAAGCATAATATGTATTCATAATATGTATTCTTATAATCATATATATAATTGGAATCATAACATATATATTAATTTATCTTACATCA